TCCCTGATCCCCTCGTCTCCCTGATCCCCTGATCCCCATCTCTCCCTGATCCCCCGTCTCCCTGATCCCCCGTCTCCCTGATCCCCCGTCTCCCTGATCCCCCGTCTCCCTGAACCCTCGCCCCCAGGTCTCCCTGTCTCCCTGATCCCCCGTCTCCCTGATCCCCTCGTCTCCCTGATCCCTCGTCCCCTCGTCTCCCTGATCCCTCGTCCCCAGGTCTCCCTGTCTCCCTGATCCCCCGTCTCCCTGATCCCTCGTCCCCAGGTCTCCCTGTCTCCCTGATCCCCCGTCTCCCTGATCCCTCGTCCCCAGGTCTCCCTGTCTCCCTGATCCCCCGTCTCCCTGATCCCCTCGTCTCCCTGATCTCTCGTCCCCAGGTCTCCCTGTCTCCCTGGTCCCCTCGTCCTCCGATCGCGCTATCTCCCCAGTCGCCTGTCTCCTGGTCCACTGTCTTCGTCCTCTCTCTCTCTCTCTGCTCCCTTCTCTGGTCTCAGTTCACCCCCTGGCGAGCCTCTCGTCCCCGTCCTTGGTACGGGGAGTGGACAAAAAGGTTAACAACAATTATTGAGGCATGTGGTGATCAACTCCGCCCCCCCCCCCAATGTCACTCCATCATCATCACCATCAGTACCATAATAACACCACCACCTCTACACAAAGACAAACAAAGATCCCCCGTATAGCCTGAACCTACTGTTGGGGCAAGTGCTGTTAGCGAGTAGCACCTATGAAGGCCGGCACGACACACGAGGGGTGGGTGGCCAGCACCACGCCCGACCGCCTTCGTCTCCCTAGTGGCGATGTTTTAACAAACCGCACCAGGCATCCATTTATTTAGGCCGAGTAGGCCTAGGGGAGGCTCAGGACCGGTTCTGATAATCGTCACTGGTGTTGGCCGTGAGCGGGAATCGAACTCTGGTCGCCAGGTGCGTAGCGCAGCGCGTTAACCACTACACCACCGCTCCCCTCTACACATCATCATCATCACGCCATTCCTCCTCACTCCTTACATCACCTAAAGCCTCTCCCTCCATCATCCATGCCTCTCTTTCCTATTCTCCATTCCCCTCTCATCTTCACTCCCTCTCTCTCTCACCTCCTCCACTTCTCTCTCACCTCCTCCTCTCTCTCCCTCCTCCTCTCTCTCCCTCCTCCTATCTCTCCATTCTCAATCTCTCCCTTCCCAATCCCTCCCTTACCGATGCTGCGCGCACCTTTGAGCGTAGGGGAGAAGCGGGGAGGGGGAGAGGGCAGCTATTTAATCAGAGAAGCGTGCCCCCTATGACCCCCATAGGGAGATGCGCGTGTTTGTACACACACACACAGTGTACACACACGTGTACACACACACACGTGTGTGCACTCATACATGACACCAAAAGACAAAGGTTGTTGGGGCAAGCGCTGTTAGCGAGCACCTATGCAGGTCGGAATGGCACACGCGAAGTGGGTGGCTAGCACCATGCCCGGCCGCCTTTGTCTCCCCAGTGGCGATGTTTACACGCCACACCAGGACTCATTTGAGGCTGAGTCGACCTAGGGGAGGCCCAAGACCGGTTCAGATAATCGTCACTGGTGTTGGCCGTGTGCGGGAATCGAACTCGGCCCGCCGGGTTCGTAGCGCAGCGCGCTAACCACTACACTACCGCTCCCCACACTCACACTGTCACACTCACAAAGATCCCCCGTGTAGCCTTCACAGACTGCAGGGGCAAGTGCCGTTAGCGAGTAGCACCTATGAAGGCCGGCACGGCACACGAGGGGGTGGGTGCCCAGCACCACGCCCGGCCGCCTTTGTCTCCCCAGTGGCGATGTTTACACACCGAACCAGGTACTTTTGAGGCCGAGTCGACCTAGGGGAGGCCCAAGAGCGGTTCAGATATTCAGACATTGTTATTGGTCATAGGCGAGATTGGAACCGGTTTGTATCACAGTGCGTTAACCACTGCGCCACCGCTCCCCACAGATACACATACAAGTGCACGCACACACGTGTGTATGCGCACACACAGATATACATACACACACGTACATACGAACACACGCACGCATACATACACACGAACACACGCAAAGCCACACACATACAGTGCAGGGAGCAGCTTCCTCCGACCGCAACATCCTCATAGTACACACACACGTGCACACACACGTACACACACACACGCGTACACACACACGTGTACACACACACACACGTACACACACGAGTACACACACACACGTGCACACACGTGCACACACGCACACACACACACGCGTACACACACGCGTACACGTGTACACACACGCGCACACACAACACACTTGCGTGCACACACACGCGCGTACACACACACACGTGTACACACATACACGTGTACACACATACACGTGTACACACACACACGTGTACACACATACACGTGTACACGCGCAAGCACACACACACGCGCGGATATACAAAGGCGAAGAAACTCGCACACGTGGAGTAGACACGCGCACAGATCACCCCCCCGCATCTTCTCCGGTGCAATTGCACCGCCTGCACACTCGACAGTCGTAGCCACGCGCACACACACGTCATGACACACACACACACGTAATGGCACACACGTAATTATACACGCAGACACACACGTAATGACACACACACGCAATGACACACGCACACACTCACGGAACCACACACGCACACACGTAATGACACACGCACGCTCGGGTACACATTGACACACGCGCGTGCATGAACAATCGTGTGCGCACGGAATTACCCACTACCCCCCTTCACCCCCCACACACAAAGACAAAGATCCCTCGTATAGCCTTGAAGAGACTTGGGGCAAGTGCTGTTAGCGAGCACCTATGAAGGCCGACACGGCACACGAGGGGGTGGGTGGCCAGCCAACACCACGCCCGGCCGCCTTTGTCTCCCTTGTAGCGATGATTTTACACATCGCCCCAGATTATTCATTTGAGGTTGAGTCGATCTAGCGGAGGGCCAGGACCCGGCTTTAGATCATCGTCACTCGGTGTTGATCGTGAGCGGGAATCGAACTCGGGACGGGGGTTTCGTAGTGCAGCGTAGCGCTAACCGCAGCGCCACCGCTCCCCACACGAATACATTCGCGTGCATTTACACACAACGCCTTGACACGCGCACACAACAACAACAGAGACAAAGATCCCCCATATAGACAGCCCGGGCTGTTTGTGCAAGTGCTGTTAGCGGCACACACACACACATTCATACAAAGACAAAGATGACCCCTGTAGCCTTCAGCAGACTGTTGGGGCAAGTGCTGTTAGCGAGCACCTATGAAGGCCAGCAGGAGACACGAGGGGGTGGGTGGACAACACCACGCCCGGCCGCCTTTGTCTCCCCAGTGCTGATGTTTACACCCGGCATCCTGTTACTCATTTAGGGTCGAGTCGACCTAGCTGAGACCCAGGACCGATTGAGATATATTCAGACGTTGTTAGCGTTGGTCGCGAGCGGAATTTCGAAGCTCGGATCTCCGGGTTCATTCAAAGCGCCGGGCGCAAACCACTGCGCTACCGCTCCCCATACACGCACAGAACGCGCGCACACAAACAACAACAACACATTGGCACGCAAACAATAACAACACATTGGCACGCACACACAACAACACATTGGCGCGCACACACAACAACAACACATTGGCACGCACACACACAACAACAACACATTGGCACGCACACACAACAACAACAACACATTGGCACACACAACAACAACAACACATTGGCACACACAACAACACATTGGCACGCACACACAAACAACAACACATTGGCACGCACACACAAACAACAGCACATTGGCACACACACACAACAACAACACATTGGCACACACACAACAACAACACATTGGCACACACAACAACACATTGGCACGCACACACAAACAACAACACATTGGCACGCAAACACACAACAACAACACATTGGCACACACACACAACAACAACAACACATTGGCACACACAACAAACACATTGGCACACACACAACAACAACACATTGGCACACACACAACAACAACACATTGGCACACACAACAACAAACACATTGGCACACACACACACAACAACAACAACAACACATTGGCACACACACACAACAACAGCACATTGGCACGCACACACAGAACAACAACATATTGGCACACACACACACAACAACAACACATTGGCACACACACACACAACAACACATTGGCACACACAACAACACATTGGCACAAACAACAACACATTGGCACACACACACAACAACAACACATTGGCACACACAACAACACATTGGCACACACACACAACAACAACACATTGGCACACACACACAACAACAACACATTGGCACACACACACACAACAACAAACACATTGGCACACACACAACAACAAACACATTGGCACACACACAACAACACATTGGCACACACACACACAACAACAAACACATTGGCACGCACACACACAACAACACATTGGCACACACACACACAACAACAACACATTGGCACACACACACACACAACAACAACACATTGGCACACACACACAACAACAAACAGTGCCGCGCTACCGACGGGTACCGAGCAATGGACGCGGCGCTTCGAGCAGCGCAGAGCGCGCGCTGGGGGGCGGGGGCCCGAGACGGAGCGCGCGCTGGGGGGGGGGGGCCCGAGACGGAGCGCGCGCTGGGGGGGGGGGGGGGGCCCGAGACGGAGCGCGCGCTGGGGGGGGGGGGCCCGAGACGGAGCGCGCGCTGGGGGGGGGGGGGGGGCCCGAGACGGAGCGCGCGCTGGAGGGGGGGGGGCCCGAGACGGAGCGCGCGCTGGGGGGGGCCGAGACGGAGCGCGCGCTGGAGGGGGGGGGGGCCGAGACGGAGCGCGCGCTGGAGGGGGGGGGGCCGAGACGGAGCGCGCGCTGGGGGGGGGGGGGGCCGAGACGGAGCGCGCGCTGGAGGGGGGGGGGCCGAGACGGACCTCGCTCTGCCGGGCGGCGCGGGGCTCCTTCCTGCAGGGGCGCGCGGCGGTGCCTCGAGTCGCCCGGCTTGTTCCGAGCGAGCGAGCGTGGTCCCCCGCGTCCGTCTCCCCCCTCCCTTCTTCTCCCTCCTCCTCCTCCTTCTCCCTCCTCCTCCTCCCCGTTCTCTCCTCCGGCTGCTCCCCCACCTCGCTGATCCCCTCGATTCTCCGCTCTCTTTCCTCTTCGTCGGTCTCGTCCCTCGTCCCCTCTGCTCCCTCCTCTGCTCCCTCGCCCTCCCTGCTCTCTCCTCCTCCTTGATCCCCTCGATTCTCCGCTCTCCCCCCCACCTCTATTGCTGTTCCTCTCCTCCCTCCCTCCTCTTCCTCCCTCCCCGTCGCTGCTCCCTGCCCGTTGATCCTTCGAGTCTCCGCTAGTCGCCGTCCCCGCTCCTCTCTCCACTCCTCGCCCCGGCTTCTTCCTCCTCCTCCTCCGCCCTCTGTCGCCGTTCCTCCGTCTCGGCACCCCCCACCCCCCCCCCATTGCTGACGCCGCCGTCGCCTCCGCTCATTGGCCACGCGAGATGAGAGCGCCGCGCGTGCGCGATGGCGTGCGATGCATGGGGGGTGTGTGATGGTGTGTGATGCATGGGGGGTGTGTGATGGTGTGTGATGGTGTGTAATGCATGGGGGGGGGGGGTGATGGTGTATGATGCATGGGGGGTGATGGTGTGTGATGCATGGGGGGGGGGGGGTGATGGTGTGTGATGGTGTGTGATGGTGTGTGATGCATGGGGGGGGGGGTGTGTGATGGTGTGTGATGGTGTGTGATGGTGTGTAATGCATGGGGGGGTGTGATGGTGTGTGATGGTGTGTAATGCATGGGGAGGGGGGTGATGGTGTGTGATGGTGTGTGATGGTGTGTGATGCATGGGGGGGTGTGTGATGGTGTGTGATGGTGTGTGATGGTGTGTGATGGTGTGTAATGCATGGGGGGGGGGTGATGGTGTGTGATGCATGGGGGGGGTGTGTGATGGTGTGTGATGGTGTGTGATGCATGGGGGGTGATGGTGTGTGATGTATGGGGGGGGGGGGTGATGGTGTGTGATGGTGTGTGATGGTGTGTGATGGTGTGTGATGCATGGGGGGGGGTGTGTGATGGTGTGTGATGGTGTGTAATGCATGGGGGGGTGTGATGGTGTGTGATGGTGTGTAATGCATGGGGAGGGGGGTGATGGTGTGTGATGGTGTGTGATGGTGTGTGATGCATGGGGGGGTGTGTGATGGTGTGTGATGGTGTGTGATGGTGTGTGATGGTGTGTAATGCATGGGGGGGGGGGTGATGGTGTGTGATGGTGTGTAATGCATGGGGTGTGTGATGGTGTGTAATGCATGGGGGGGGGGGGTGATGGTGTGTAATGCATGGGGTGTGTGATGGTGTGGTGGTGTCCACTTAGAACCCGGCAACCCAAGTTCGATTCCCGTTTACGACCAACCCCAGTGACGATTATTTGAACCAGTCCTAGGCTTCTAGGTCGACTCGGCCTCAAATGAGTACCTGGTGCGATGTGTTTACATCGCCACTGGGGAGACAAAGGCGGCCGGGCGTTGCGCTGGCCCACTCGCCCCCTCCTGCGCCGTGCCGGTCTTCACAGGTGCTCGATAACAGCACTTGCCCCTACAGTCCGTTGAGGCTACACGGGGGATCTGTGTGTTAAGTGCGCATGGTGTCCGTATTGGGGTCAAGACGATATACGATCCACGATAATCGGTCCACGATATACGATAATCGATCCACGATAATCGGTCCACGATATACGATCCACGATAATCGCACATCATCTGCTTTACCAAAACGTCGTCCTACTGCCGTGACCATAATTGCACGTTGCATTTTTCGACAAAGATTTAACATTCTGAAATAAAACGTATGAAATGTCGATAATTATTAACTTTTACACGCAAAATCCGCGCTTAAAAATATAGCAATTTTAACCATTAACTGTCGGGCTTTGCAAAATATGTACTATTTAAAATGTCTTGCAAATTGACAGCACGATGGTCATATCCGTAATTAACTCATTACATTTTGAGTAAAGACGTTATAGATTGTAAAGTTGCAATGATTACGCGTGGAGGAATCATGGGAAGTTTCGATGGGAGAACGGGACGATGCCACTGGTGCGTGTACTGCCAGCTGAGTGATTATCAGGTGTAATTTTTCAGCGTTGGAATGTTTTGGTAGACCAATACCACGGCTACATTGTACGTAGGTTGTTGTTTTAGCTATGGAAAACTACGGGGAGACCCGGAGATAACACGCAGACCAGGGGAGAGAAGATACAGACTCCACACTCATATTGCAGACCAAAGGAGAGAGCATAGACTCCACACTCATACTACAGACCAGGAAGAGAACAGACTCCACAGACTCATACTGCAGACCAGGGAGAGACCTACAGACTCCACACACTCACACTGCAGAACAGGGGGAAAATGTACAAACTCCACGCAGAAAGGTGCCCGAGTCAGGAATTTAACCCAGGCCCTGCTTGCTGTGAGGCATGAGAACTACCACTCTGTCGCCACCACCGCCCTGCCGCACAAGAATTGCATAAACGCACAAAAACAAATCCTGAAATGCAAGGAGACAGTTATGGGAAACGGATATCAGAAGTCGTATCGTCACGTTTAATAACGTATCGTGGAACATGACATCACGACTCAGCACGTACGACGTTCCTCCTGTGCCCGACGCGTGCGGCAATGTGAGCAGTGTGCAGAAAACATCGCCACTGGGGAGACAAAGGCGGCAGGTCGAGGTGCTGGCCACCCAACCCCTCGTGCGCCGTGCCGATTTTCATAGGTGTGACGCGCTAACAGCACCAAGTCTGTTAAGGCTACACGGGGGATCTCTGTCTTAGCCCATCAGGTGACTCATCAGCAGAGCGAGCACCTCGCAATCCGAAGGTTGCGAGTTCAAATCCTGGATGGTGGGGGGTGAGTCAGATAAAATAAGTTCCAATATTTTGGGAAGTCAACAGTGGTTATCCTCTGGATATACTCGCCCCGCCATATGAACGTGGAATTTCCACAAGCTCAGTGGTATGAACAGAAGATGAGCACTAATGCCTGCATGTTCATTTGAGCAGCAGGAGATCACTCTGACTTTGTCCGCCATTTGAGAGTCCGAATCGGACCCTCAGAACGGAAGAGGACTCTTCAGGCCTGGACTAATTCAGACCAGGTCACTTGAATGGATCTCAGCTGTAGCTCGTTGATATCCACTTCCGCAGGTTACAGTCTCTTAGCACTGCTCTGCGGAGAGATCCGAGTGGATCCTTCATCTTAGCACGTGACGCCAGCAGAACAAACTGGCAGAACAGCCAAGATTTATTTGCAGAAAAAGACAAACATTTAAAAATTAGGGCCTAAGGAAACCAAGATCTTGAATGTAAAACCACAACATCCAGGGAAGGAGGGGAGGGTCCGGGGGGGGGTAAGGGGGGTCAGGGGGGGTAAGGGGGGTCAGGGGGGGTAAGGGGGGTCAGGGGGGGTAAGGGGTTTAAGGGGGTTTATGACTCCCAACCCCAAGGATCGACAGTGTATCTTTTGACAAAACCCATTGTAATGGAATTGTGCGAGTGTCTTTCGTGGCGGCGTCTTCACGTCACCCCGTGCGTGTTTACCTGACCACACACCACACACATCACACACACCACACACGCACCACACACACTACACGCCACTGCAATGCAACACGGACTGCCTCGCAGCAGCGGCGTCACGACACAAACTTGACAACTTAATTTACCAACCAATGTTGAATGCCATCGTCTCGCACGCTCATTCTCTCCCACGTGATGCGCCAGGGACCCACGGCATCCATTCCTGACCGTCAAAAAACAAACTCCTGAGGGTCGGAAGGTGACGCTGTGAATTCCATGCCCGCGGCTGGGCACAGAGAAGACACGTGGGCGCCCTCCCTCTCCCCGCCAATGTGGAGGGAGGGGGGAGGCGGTGTCCTGCGCACAACAGCGCAGGTAGCTGTCCTGAGACCCCCCCCGCCCCCTCACTGCTCCCAGCAGAGTGCTGCATTGTGGCAGGAAGTGCCAGCGAGAGGAATGCACGCCAATGGACACTTGGGTGCCAGCCGTTCCCATATCAAAAACACCTTTCAGCAGTGACGACGATCGTCTCTCGGACTGTCCCCCTGTCCACGGCAGCCATAGGAGACTTTGTTGGTTGACCTGTCGCATTGCGTCGAGGGGTTTTCCTGCACCGACAAGCCGCGGGGGCCGCGCTGCAAACCGTCGGGCCCTCTGCGAGTTCTCTCACGGCCACCCCTCGCGACGGCGCACGCTCTCGCCCGGAGACGCTACGTCGCCCGACAATGCCCGGCGTGTTCTTCCCAGCCCAGACGCCGTGGCCCACGTCGCTCCCCCTCCCCGCCTAAGCCACAGTAGCGAGATGTTAACTACCTCGCCTGGTATGCAGGAGGCCGTGGGTCCGATCCCCACCATGACGCCTGATTATTTGGAGTTTGCGTGTCTCTCAACCAATGGCCGCGTGGATTCTTCTCCGGGTCCTCCGGTTTTCCCCTCCACATTTTTGGGTGCTCTAAATTTCCCCATATAAACCACTTCGATGAGCTACCATTTGTGATAGCCAGGACGCTTTTGAAAAAGAGCTAAATAGCTCAGTACACCCCTTACCTGGTCAAATCAAAAACAGTTCTATAGTTTAGTTTTTAAGCCGTACTGCCCTCCAACCTACGTTTGTAGGAACCTTGTGCTGCCCCCCTACTTGGAGATGTTTCTCCAGCGGTCCTTGAGCTGCACGGTGGTGCGGCTCAGGGAGTAGTGCCGCTTGATCTTGCTCCAGTTTCCCACGCCGAACTTTGCGACGCCCTCTTTCAGACACTGTGTCTCCGTCTCTGTCCACATCTTCTACCCGAGACGCAGAGATGCGGAGACACACGCGGGGAGGCAGGGACGGGGCGAGATAGGAACATGGGGACAAGGAGGAGAGATGGGGACATGAGTGAGATGTAGACACTGGGGACAAGAGGACACCGGGAGGAGACAAGCACACAGGGACCGACGGCTAACATCAGTGGTGATAATTGAACCGTTTCCCCCAACACTATCCCACCCCATCCTCCCGCTTGACGGAGCTGCACTCACCAGCATGGTGAAGTAGGGTCAAACACCCCCCACGACCCGACACGGCCTGGGGAAGTAT